CTCTTTTTAATCAGTTTCACGATACAATTCTCTAGTTATATAGTTTTGTTATTTGGGTAGTAAGTTCCGTTTACACCCTGTATTTCAATTAAAAACGCGAGACGATACAAAACACATGACTGAAATTAATAATGCATTTTAATTATAAATAATGTCTGCAATCTCAACTTCAAACAGTTTAATTATTCATAATTGTTCTCCAGACATATCCAGACACATTTCCTATGATTATAATTGATATTTTTATCGTCGCTTCTTGTTGTAAAACAAATGAGTTGTAATTAATGTGTTTTTGTTTAAGTGTTCTGATTGATGTGTCTGGCTTATTGGTGGTGTGGTTGGACATGTGTCTGGTAAACGTGAGGTTCAGATTTTAAGAAATTTTAGTCTTTAGTTTGGACATATTAAATCGTGAGATATATTAAATGAATAATGTACGATATACTCACGACGATATCACTCGACAAGTTTCGACGAGCCTTGGTTATGTCGCTGATGAGTATGGGTACCTGGCTTGTTGAAATTAATTGAGTTTCCTCGTCAACATGCTTAAGCACACTCTTGTACTGCGTAGCGTACCTGGCCTTTTCTCAGACATAAAAGACATACTTGGTCGTTCTCATTCATTGATTTGATGATGTGGCGACACATGATACATGTCAAATGACAGCTCATAGACTGCCAATGAAAAATACTTCAACGGATGACGTCACAAAAATCCTACATCTCACATGTGAAATTTACATGCGAATTGACACGGATAGGAAATCCCAACGAACAACTGTTGGGCAGAAAGCCCGCCAGGCACGATCACCTCGCCTGGTCGGAGGATCCTCCTTTTCCGATCTTAGGGAACTATACTCTCTGTTCCCTAAAATTATATAATTTTCGTATATTTATAGCCTACGTTTTCTAGTTGCCACAAAAAATCTGACGTCATAGGCCGTTGATTGCATGAAAATAAATTAAAAATAGTTTTTTATATATCTAAAAATCTCTTCTGGCTCGTTGGCCGAGTGGTCGCAAGTGCGACTGCCGGGCAAGGGGTCCCGGGTTTGAATCCCGGGTCGGGCAAAGTATTGCTGGTTTTTTTTTAATATGCGGTATATGGCAATATTGGCAATAGGCTCACCCCTTATTACATGGGACTCATAACATAAATAGTGAAAAGGGGGTGTTACATTGTACAGTAGCATTAAATGCCGTAATGTGCACCTCTGCCTACTCCTTCGGGGATAAAAGGCGTGATGTTATGTATATATCTAAAAAAAGTATTTATTTTCGTTTGTAACCTTTGAAGCAACACGTGTTTAGTAAGAGAATTGGTCACGAAATACCTTATCATTTAGAAATATAGATAATTTCGTATATATCTGGCAATAACCTTGCTTTATTAGATTACCGCAGATAACTATACGATATACATTTTTGTTTAAAGATTATATCGATTGCTTACATTCTTTGACTTTGGTAGTACTGACCCACTGGTCTAGTAGACTTTGTTTGTCGATAAAAAGATATGACGTCACTAGAGAATACAATCTCCATCTCGCAAGATTACTTAGCTATAGGATTTTATCAGATAAGATTAATCAAGTTGAACTGGGCTGATCATGTCTCTCGCATGTCAGACGAGCGGTGGGCAAAATTCACTACTGAGTGGAGTCCACTCAACGTCAATAGACATCGTTGTAGGCCCAGTAGGAGATGGCGGGATGACCTTGACGCCTTTGTGAAGGATTGGCCATTGAAAAGGGTTTTTTAAAAATCTCAGTAGTAGCACGGAGCCTGGAATTGTGCCCGGTGTATGGCAATAGGCTCACCCCCTATTACATGGGACTCATAACATAAATAGTGAAAAGTGGGTGTTACATTGTATAGTGATGTTATGTGTATGTTTGTGTATTCGACGGTTTTTGCCGGACGATTGTGGCCGGCGATGGAGCACGTCTACCTATGAGCAACCTGTTCACTCGTGACTTGAAGACACCCAAGTCATATTTGTCGGGAAACAGATATCATATCATCATCAACAGCCTATAAATGCCCACTGCTGTCGGTGTATGGCAATAGGCTCACCCCCTATTACATGGGACTCATAACATAAATAGTGAAAAGTGGGTGTTACATTGTATAGTGGCATTAAGTGCCGTAATGTACACCTCTGCCTACCTCTCTAGGGATAAAAAGCGTGATGTTATGTGTATGTTTGTGTATTCGACGGTTTTTGCCGGACGATTGTGGCCGGCGATGGAGCACGTCTACCTATGAGCAACCTGTTCACTCGTGACTTGAAGACACCCAAGTCATATTTGTCGGGAAACAGATATCATATCATCATCAACAGCCTATAAATGCCCACTGCTGAGCAAAGCCTCTTCTCACACGGAGAAGGTTAGAGCATTAATCACCACACTTGCTCAATGCGGGTTGGCGATTTCAAACTTATAATTAGAAATTATAAGCCCAGGTTTCCTCACGATGTTTTTCCTTCACCGTTTGTCAGTGGTGTCTAAAATCTTAGAAAGTACATATAACTCGGAAAAAGTCACATTGGTACTTGCCGTTGGTAGGTTTCTATACATATAGAAATTTAATTATGAAGACATTCAGATACAATGTAAATTGTTTTTGAATAAATGAAAAAAAAATCTATATAATAAAATCGTAGAAAAGTCAAAATTGTACATTAAATATTTTTTTAAAAGAATACTTGGAGCGTGATCTACAATCGATACCGAAGCCAAAAATATGGTGTTTAGAATTTTTGTCTCTTTGTCTGTATGTATGTCCGCACTGATCACAAAAAGTACTGCATGGATTTACTTCAAATTTTAAGTAACAAGTCGAGTCAACATATAGGCTACATATCATGATATCATCTACGGGGAGAATCCCTATATTAGGTACTGAATCAATTCGGACGACATTCGTCACCGTAGAATATCCCTTGATAAAGACTAATTCAAAGGCCTAAATTCGCCAGAAGTCATTATTCTAGGCGGACGAAGTCGCAGGCAACAGCTAGTTAGACATAAAATTAGTGTGACAGTTACATACGTCAATGTATTAGAAAGCAAAATAATCAAAATTCTTCAAAAAATCGTATCTTCTGCCTCTTCTCCTTCGTCAGCGTTACCTTATTGTCGAGAAACAAATCGTGAAAATAAATGCTTTATCTTATAACCCTATAATTTTTTCTAATTTATTCAAATATTATGATTATGTGCAACAATAAGACGTACAAAACTGACTATCTCACGATTTGATAATTGTATTTTATAATTTCTGACTGGATTTTGGTGTTACATTGTTCTCACAATCAAACCAACAAAACTATGTAACTAGAGAATTGTATTGAAAATGAGTAACCTATGGAGTTTCTTGCTCGTTCTTCTCTATAGGAATCTACACCTTGGAATGAGCAAATAGCTTAACTAAACATTTTTTGTGACGTTCAAAAATGCCTTCCTGGTTTAATTTAAATTAATGATTTTGCCTTTGACTTGCAAAAATCTCGCTTAAACCTATATAGTTTATCAATGACATCGACTTTATTAAACACAGGAAATGATCATATTCTCACGGAAATGCTTGTAAAACAATTCTAATGTTATCATAATGAATATGTAGTTTTCATTCATAGATGGCGCTTCGGTAGGTTTTAAGGATGTCTGACAACTACGGACAAATAAAGCAGTCATCTTTATAATAAAATATAAATGAATTCCTTTTTCCCTCCGTCAGGGCATCACGCGTGAACGCCTGGACCGATTTCACTAATCCTTTTTAGTTGTATTTGTTATTATTGAGAGAAGGTTCTTAAGACAGAAAAAACACCTGAAAATCCTACGGGAACGGGAGAAAACGGGATTGGGCGTACGAAGTCGCGGGCAGAAGCTAATAGCTAATTTAATAGTAATTTCCTGCAGCACACACAATGTGTTAGGCTAACAATCTCTTGGCAGTCAGCCTAATACAAAGATTTATGTCCTAAAAGTTATTTAATTGTTTGTTATCAGATCACAAACAAGTCTATATTTCATAGTCGTTATCAATCATATTCATCAACATCATCACTTTGTGTCCAGCGTAGGCATGAGGAAATAAAATGTAAACAAACTTATTGCTTTGTATCATATCAATTGCATAAAGGCTGGTTTGAGGGACGCGCTGACTACACGCTGACCGTCAGCGCTGACAGCCGAGATATTAGATACATAAACTTCTAGGAAGCATTTTTGAATGATGCGTAGCTATCTCCGTGCACCGTGGTCAGCGCTGACAGCTACGCCGGGGCCGAGGCGCAATGAGTACGGCCTCATCAGAACGATAATAAAACTAGCCACGCTGACCGTCAGCGCTGAACTGTCAGCGTGACTATAAAAGCGGCCTAAGGCTGGTTTTAGTGTCGCGCTGACCGCACGCTGACCGTCGGCGCTGACAGATGAGAAATATGAACTTCTAGGGACGCGCTGATAGCTACGCGTCATTCAAAAACGCTACCTAGAAGTTCATACAATCTCCCTGTCGGCGCGACATTAAAACCAGCCTAAGGAATTTGCATTCGGCGGTTTCATCTCCATCTTTTACATGATTGGTAATCTAGAACTAAGCGTTTTTTGCCAATCTTTTAACGTCACACCATTTTGTTCTACCCTGCATTAAAAATCTGTGGAATTAACTATCGCCTGCGGTAGCCGGTATTTCCGGACTTCAATTTAAATACAATCTATTCCTATTTAAAACTTCTGGTGTTGTAGATGACAATAGGCGGCGCTATTCTATCAGGCTATATTATGTCGAACCGTTTGCCCTTATCCCATAAAAAATCCCATTAAAAACGTTTGATAAGGACAGCAGGATAAAATCAGCAGTTTTACAAAGATAATATTAACATTTTATTACTATAGATGTGCTTAAAATAATATTACTGATATAAATTACAACCGAATCAAAACAGATGGCGCTGTACTCAATTTAAGTTTTTCTCTGTGCAGAAACTTCAAATGTGCGGTACCGAGGAGGAGATGAGGGAAGTAGCTGGCAGGATATGCAGGAACTATCTCCATGGAGCTTGGAAGACAGTGGACCCTAAGGACCTCAGTTTTAGAAGGATCAGGTAAGGCATCGCTCAAAGACTAAAAGCCGTTTTCACCAACTCTTAACTAAGAGTTACTTAGTTTAAGGTTGCACCTAAACTAGTACAGGTATCCTGCCACTAAGTGGTGAAAACTACAATGTCGTTAAGTGTCACCTTTCTCAATTTCATCATATCAGCCACAGGACGTCCACTGCTCAACATAGGCCTCCCCCAATGACTTCCAGATTGGTCGGTTGGAAGCGACCTGCATCCAAGATTCTCAATTTAGGGATTCCTTAAAAATTAAGGGAGGTCCGTGAAAACTGGCTATGAATTAGAAAGGCTATGAATTTTCACGGTGTGTTGGCATGATTGGACAGCCTCGATTGGGGTGACTCCACGGTGTCAAAGGAAACCGCGTCCAAAATCATATTGTGGCACGCCATATGAATAGGGTTATCAGAAGTTATCCAGATTAGGCAAAGTAATATTTGGGGTTTCTTTAACTTTCTTTTTCGTTTTAAAACATCATCCTTTAGACTCTAGAAGCGGGCATCATAAACCTCTAGGGCCTAGAGGTTTATGATGCCCGCTTCTCATACATGAGGCTGCGGATCCGAAAACTATCAATTGCAAGTACCCTACCAATGTGACTTTTTCCGAGTTATATGTACTTTCTAAGATTATCTAGAGGTAGACACCACTGACAAACGATGAAGGATAACATCGTGAGAAAACCTGAGCTTATAATTTCGAATTATAAGTTTGAAATCGCCAACCCGCAATGAGCACGCGTGGTGGTTAATGCTCAAATCTTCTCCGTGTGAGAAGAGGCCTTTGATCAGCAGTGGACACTGATAAAGTGTGATGCAAACATTTTCTCAGTATTAACACGGAGTCAGTGTATATGGCAATAGGCTCGCCTCCTATTACATGGGATTCATGCCATACCTAAGTTGTGAAAAGTGGGTGTTTTTTTTATGGTAAACTGATAACGAGCAGTCTCCGGTAACCTCACTCATACGACGAAACACAACGCAAGCGTTGCTTCACGTCGGCTTTCTGTGACGCCGTGGTATCACTCCGGTCGAGCCGGCCCATTCTTGCCGAAGCATGGCTCTCCCACACTTAAACGAGTTACAACGAATATGTGCATCTCTGTCTACCCCTTCGAAGACAGACGGTGTTCAGAAGGGAATTATTAATAAATTATATCAAGCAACGATCGATTTGTCTGCTTCATACTATAATACCATAAACAACTTTACTATTCCAGGTATAAAGTTAAAAATAGATTGATATTTTCCATTCTTTTCATATTTCTACGCCCACACGCGTCTGCTAGCCAGGGTATTTGATACAAGTCACTTGTAATTAAATCTACATGAATTGCATTGTGTGATGACGGCAGAATATAATACATTTGTCACCACACTTACTCTTCCCGCGGGTGTCGCATACCCGACTAAGAGACTACACATTAGACAGAGACCGGGCAGCAGCGCTCTCTGATAAACCTGAACTTTTTATACTGCGATCTCCAACCCGATTATGACAAACCCGTCTTATTTAGAGGAGGCTCATAGTGCAGCAGTGGTCTGTCACATATCGTTGAAGATGAAGGAACATTTAGCTTCATTGACGGAGTATTTTGACAGCAGTATTTCAAAAGCCTACCGAGGCCGAGTGGTCGCAAGTGCGACTGCCGGGCATGGAGTCTCGGGTTCGATTCCTGAGTCGGGCAATGTATTACTGGGTTTTGCTTTAATTCTCAGTGGTAGCACGGAGTCTGGACCTGTGCCCGGTATATGGCAATAGGCTCACCCCCTATTACATGGGACTCATAACATAAATAGTGAAAAGTGGGTGTTACACTGTACAGTGGCATAATGTGCACCTCTGCCTACCCCTTCGAGGACAAAAGGCGTGGTGTTATGTTATTTTAAAGGCGCGTTTAATTGGAATGAATGCTTCGACATTGACATTGATTACATTTCTGCCGAACTATATAGAAAATGAAAGTATGTAATTTCATGTCGCGTTTGAACAAATGCCATACAACTTATTAATATATTGAATGCAAGGTGAATTGGTGTGTACGTTTGTCTCTCAATAACGTGAAAACGGCTGAGGGGATCGCGATGAAATCTGGAACAGGGGTAGATTATGTTCCGGAACAACACTTTTAATCTACGAGAATTCGGGTTCGATCCCCGGGTCGGGCAAAGTATTACTGGGTTTTAAAAAATTCTCAGTAGTCGCACGGAGTCTGGAATTGTGCCCGGTATATGGCAATATGCTCACCCCCTATTACTTGGGACTCATAACATAAATAGTGAAAAGCGGGTGTAACATTGTACAGCATTAAGTGCCATAATGTGCACCTCTGCCTACCCCGTCCGGGATAAAAGCCGTGATGTTATATGTATATCTACGAGAATGCGGGCGAAGTCGCCGTCAGAAGCTTGATACATATATTGATATCTATGAAAAACTTTCCATTTCAAAAAATAATACAACTTGAAATAACTAGGTACTACCATTCAAATCACTAGCCATTAGTTGCTGAACTTATATTTTTTTTATGTTTTACCGATCGCGTGTAACCTTACAGTTAAAATTTAACCTCGGTAACGAATCGATACTGTTAACCTTCCAGCTTTATTGTTACTACTACATTGTTTAACTTTAAACAGCAGCTCATGTAGTGTAGATGTCCAGTCAACAAGGATGTAGCGAGGTTGACTGTCCAGGCGACACACGTACTTAGGTATCGTCATGAGCTAATGTTCACATGTAAACAGCAGCTCATGTAGTGTAGATGTCCAGTCAACAAGGATGTAGCGAGGTTGACTGTCCATGCGACACACGTACTTAGGTATCGTCATGAGCTTATGTTCACATGTAAACAACAGCTCATGTAGTGAAGCCAGCAAAATGGATGTTGCAACTCTCTAAAATCTAAATAATATCCTGGTTAGACGTTAGACAAACAAGGCAATAATCCCTCAATTATCTAAAGTAATTACATATACTGATATGCTATCGAGTAGGCACATATCTAAACACCTTATCACTATTGCCCATAAACTAGAAAATTCTTGATTGGAACCGGATTGAATCGATTAACAAATCGATATACATAATCGTTTCTAGACTACGTAATATTCTATTCAATAATACGTTAATTTATAATCGGTAGATTCCCTTTAAAATAGACACTGATAATAGACGTCATAGTCTTTGATATTTGCAACTAGCTATATCATGCATGACGATACCTGAGTACGTGTGTCGCCTGGACAGTCAACCTCGCTACATCCTTGTTGACTGGACATCTACACTACATGAGCTGCTGTTTACATGTGAACATTAGCTCATGACGATACCTAAGTACGTGTGTCGCCTGGACAGTCAACCTCGCTACATCCTTGTTGACTGGACATCTACACTACATGAGCTGCTGTTTACGTGAAACTAGTTAATAAAATCGTATACTACCGGTAGTAAATTATTTTCCATCGATGTTCAAGGCCAGTCTATGTATTGTTGAGCGTGGATTACGCAGTATATAAGAATATGTAAAGACGCAAAAAATGTAAATAAATACAATTAACCTTGACTTTAGCAAATGTTTCATGTTTGTGGTATAAATTATAAATCGGTAGCGGTTTTGGCCGTTTTTGCGATGCGTAGATGGCGCTGCTGATGTTTAAAAGTCTCGGTAGTGTAACAAAATTTTTGATAATTTTTTTTTGCGTTTAAGCTTTTATGTTTTTGGAAATTAAAAAGATATTTAGGTAGTATTTGTTAGTCTGATTTGAACATTTCTTCAATATTGAGTCAATTTGTAATGCATTATCTTTTAGTAGGGTTTAAGAATTTTGGCAAATCATAAACGGATATACCAAACGTGTAAATTATGACAAACCCTCTTCTGTAGAGGACGCTCATAGGATTGTTGATGATCGATAATAAGGCCAAATAACCTTTTACTCAATCCAGGAAATAGACCTCAAACTCCTACAAATGATAATGAAAAGACATACGTTTATTCGGCATAATACATGCACGCCAGGAAAAAGGAAACTTATGCATTATAACATATAACGAGATTTAAAAACAGACATATAAAGAAAATAAGATAATAAGGTAAATTATAAAATAAAAACAAGCCAATAATACAGGTGAAAATTACTGCGTATTAATATAAATTCACTTCTAAAGCACCTCAACGCTAACTTTTCACAACTTAAACCATACTCATTTTCTTATAAAACGTAAAAAAATCTTTCATTCCGTGCGAACTAAATAAAAGATTGTTTTCTTAATAAAAAGCTTCAAACTATTGTATAGTATTTCTTACAAAACAACTTTATTTCCATGAAATGTAGCAGATTTTTCAGCTATAAAAACTTTATGAAGTTCATGTTTTTTGCACTATATCTTGTTTTATGGACAAAGTGTCATTTTTATGATAACTATCGTGAGATATTTAAGTGTGGGAGAGTCATGCTTCTCCACGAATGGGCCGGCTCGACCGGAGTGATACCACGGTGTCACCGAAAACCGACGTGAAGCAACGCTTGCGTTGTGTTTCGTCGTGTGAGTGAGGTTACCAAAGGCCTAATTACCCTCCCCTTCCCCAATCTCCCCAATCTCCCCAATTCCTGAATCCCCAACGATCCTAAGTAACGCCGCCAACTTCCAGGTGTCCATGGGCGACGCCGATTGCTTAACATCAGGTGATCCGTCTGCTCGTTTACCTGTCTTTTTTATATGCCATAAAAAATATACTAAATTAACTAAAAACCGCTGCTGTAGTAGGCTGCGCGACATCGACACATACCGGGCACAATTCCAGACTCCGTGCTACTACTGAGAGTGTTTTAAAAAGTAGTGGAGTTATTAGTAAGGTAAATAAAATCATATGGCATACATGGGACTCATAATATAACTACTGGTGAAATGTGGGTTTTGTATGCTCAATTTCAAAAACAGAAGAAATCCAATAACACTTTACCCGAACCGAGAATTGAACACTAAAACATGCCATTGCATACAAAACTCGCACTTAACTAAGTAACTACGGCGGAAAAATTTCCAAACAGGATTCGAACCGTTGCGCTGGCGCTGACCTCGAACATTGACTTGTGTAACTGGGCCATTAATATAAATTATCGAAATACAAAAATATCTTAAGTATAATAATGTCAATAGTATTAGTGGTGGAAAATTACCCGAATGACAGATAACGCACGCATTGTTTAGTAACGATAGCTGCGCCCGCGCACGTCGAGCCGCCATCTTGTTTTAGGTAATAAACTTATAAGCCTATGGTTTACGATTGTATGTGAAATTTATGACACGTGCCAAGGATATTATTTATTATTGGTGATTAGGTTTTGTCCCACGATTGCTTATGCGCAGAATATATCGTTTTTTCCTCCACGTCGGTAATAAGACATAATATGATTTGATCGCCGATGGGGTAAACAGAGGACATATTTACAATGCAACAGGGTACTTTTCACCACTTATGTTGCCTATAACTCACCTGCTATTACATGGGACCTATCCCATGTAATATGAGGTGAGTCTATTGCCGTATACCGGGCTCAATTCCTGACTCCGTGCTATGACTAAAAGGGAAAAAAGGCCATTGTGATTTTGTCCATCACGACTCAACATAACATCCTGACTTTTATCCCCGAAGGGGTAAGGAGGTGCACATTACGGCACTTAATGCCATTATACTATGTAACACCCACTTTTCATTATTTATGTCATGAGTCCCATATAATAGGGATCAGTCTACTGCCGTTTACCGGGCACAATTCTAGACTCGGTGCTACTACAGAGAATTTAACTGACTTAGTTAATAAAAGAATTATTTTTTCTTGGTTTCCAGTGGTGGTCTGTCAAACTTCCTATACTACATAGCGTTGCCTGATGACGTGTCGAAATGGGGAGGCTACCAGAAACGGGAGAGCTCACCGGAGACAGACCCTGAGAACTGTGACAATAGGAACTTGAGGAGGACCCTGGTGAAGAGCACTTCCTTCTCCATTGAGGAACCTAGAAAGGTAAGTTTATTGTGCACATATCAGCCACGTACTGTCTACTGCCTCCTACAGTCCTTCCCCCAAGGACTACTTCGCGAGGTTAAAGACGACCTGCATACTGTCCTCCACGCTGGTGGACGTCTTTACTTCGATTGATAAAAAATAATCCTTCCCATTCACACTGAGCAGTTTGCGTAGGAAACTGCGATCTTTAACCCACCTGCCGAGGGTGACAAACGGCAGAAGAAGAAAGATAGAAAAACCATCATTTGACTAATTGGCACACAAATACAAAGATTATAAAATAATAAAAATACAGATACTTATATCGTACAAAATAATAATAATAATCTTAAAAGAGTAAAGAAAAGAACAAGGTCGGCAAGGCACCTGTGATTCCTCTGGTGTTGCGGTCCATGGGCGGCACTGGTCGCTTACCATCAGGTGATCCGTCTGCTCGTTTGCCTCCTATTCCATAAAAAAAAAACAAAATAGAAAACCTTAGGAATCTTATGTAGAAAAGACCAATAGTTCAGTAGTTAAAAGTATTTAATTCAATTAAAAGTACCCTTAACCGACGAGCATGCATGAAAAGATTGATGACTGTTAATGAAGCGAAAGAGGTATGTAAGAATCGTAGTAATTGGCGTTCCTTAGTCTCTGCCTACCCCCATGGGAGACAGGCGTGAAGTTATGTATGTATGTATGGGCTGTGACTGGCTATCGAAGAGATTTTATCATCCTCTTCTGAAGTATGAGCATCCACCAAATAAGAGGGGTTTTTTTATTATATAAGCCGGTAAACGAGCAGACGGATCACCTGATGGTAAGCAATCGGCGCCGTCCATGGACACCAGAGGCGTTGCAAGTGCGTTACCGGCCTTTTGGGAATTGAAATTTTGAGGGGAAAATAATTTAATCATATATTACCTCCTATCTTCAAGGTATTACTAAGAATCTACGGGCAAGTGCACGGAGAGCGCGCAATGGACGCCATCGTCACTGAATCTGTGATCTTCACGCTACTATCAGAGAGAAGACTTGGACCAAAGCTACATGGTGTCTTCTCTGGAGGCAGGATCGAACAGTACATACCAGTAAGTTGTTTTTTATATGTAATTTGTGATCATTATATGTCGGGATTTATTGGGTGCGTATATAATTTATATAGGTTGTTTATAATCTTGTTTTTGGGTTGTTAAGCGTAGTATAATCTATTTGGTTTTTAGATTCAGACTGATTAAAAACAGGTTATAATAGGGATGATGACAGGGTATGTAAATTAAAAATCTATTTAGTCCGTCAGTTAGGTAATGAAAAAATATTAGACACGTATTTTTTTTATTTTGTCGTATAATGAAACAATACTTAGATAAAACGAATCAAAGTTTAGTAGTGGGGCTAAAACGTCATTTCTACGTATAAAATGTACATAGAAGTGACGTCACGCGGCATTTCATCTTGGAAAGTATTCGTTTCTGTAAGAAAATAAAAAATACGTGTCTAATGATTTAAAATAATCTACCAGACGGACATTAAAATAAAAATTAGGCATCTACCCTATTGTCTGTCGTGAAGGTAATAATAGTAATAAGCTTATACGATAGTTTGTCGTAAGATTAGGTTATTGTTGTCCAATTATGAATTAATTTAGACACTTGTCAACTATAAGAAGACTTAATTTCAAATAGGTATAAGGGCTCGTACATAAAACTGCGGTGCGACGCCGCATCGTAAAAATGTGCGAGGTCCCTCTACGCATCGCAAAGAACTTGCGAATTGATTCGCATCGCGCATCAAAATCTTATCTTCTCAAAATCGTCTTTGTTTCTTTTTCCTATATCTCCTAAGCAATAACAGAAGTGCACATTTCTTTTTACGATCCATGCCACGACCTAGTTGTCAATTTAAAATACGTTTAGTACGGTTGACGGTCGTCGAAGGAATGGTGACCCTGGGAGACGCAGGCTGTCGCACGAAATCGCATCGCAGCAATTCGCTTCGTAATTTTTGCGTTGCGAATTCGCATCGCAGTTTTGTGTACGAGCCCTAAAACACAGTTTTAAGCTATTTCCGTGGGTATGGGTATGGGTATTCGTGAATAATGTCGGTATTATTTATGATTGTGTCATGGACTTGTTCCTTCAAAAAAAACATTTTTACTAGTTGAACTTTATATTTGTTGTGGGGATTAACAAATTTATATTTTACAAAACGTCACTCAACAATATATAATGAGCATACATTATAATATATAATTAGGAACAGGATAGGAATATTTTGAATAAATATTCAGCCATCTCGACAATTCTAGTAGTAGCTTAGACCAATATAACTACCAGATTTTTACCTAACATTATGGAAAATTTGTTGTATCATTATATCCGCTGAAGATAAACAAATTAGGATTAAGGAATCGATGAAATTAGGTAAAGGGATTTTATTATTAAGAATATCAATACAAAATTAATGTCTTTTTAACATAAACAATAATTTTCTTAAACTAACAGCACAACTATGTATAAAATTATATATTTAAACAACTTATAAAAAACTATTTGGTGCATTCTGATTGGTTGACAAATCGTATGTTCGGCACAAAAGCCGGTAATTGGGTATTTCTGTTAGGAAATTCTCAGTTCCAGCGGTATGACCGGCTTTCGGCTGGGGCCTAATACCGGGCGGCGCAGTTCTTTCAAGGAAACGACGCGTGGTATGTAATTTGGCATTTAATGTCTAAGCAATAAGGATGTATTTTGTTTGTAGTGTATTTTTGGACACGTGAATTTTTTTATTGTTTGAAAATGTGAGCTAAAGAAAATGCTGTATTGTTCGATATCTTGTCCCCCTATTACATGGGAATCGTAAGATAACTGGTGAAAGTAGGTGTTACATTATATATGCACCTCTGTCTACCCGTGTCTAGGCTTTAAAAGCCTGATTTCAATAATTCAATTCAGCCTAGTAGCTCCGTACTATATTAAAATATTATTTTTGTCTGTATTTAATTCTTCAATGAGACAAGAAAAACTCCACTCGTTTTTAAAAACCCAGCAACGCACTAGTAATTCCTTTAGCGTTGCGGGTGTCCATGAGCGACTTTGATCACTTACCATCAGGTGATCCGTCTTCTCGTCGACCTCCCAAAAATACAGCAAAAACACGCGAATTTAAACTCTAACCAACACAAAAAAGAAGCCAATTGCCATAATCTATCCCCTTCTCACTCTCCTTCGGTCTACTCATTTAAAAGACCGGTCTACTCAACAAAAAGACCGGTCTACTCGTTTTACCCTTGGTCTTTCCACTAAAAGACTGGTCTACTCCACAGGCAAGGTGTCTACTGACAAAAGAACTAGCGGATCCGGCGTTATCTATGAAAATTGCTGAAAAAATGGCCGCCATACATTCAATGGAGGTGCCCCTTAACAAGGAACCAAACTGGATTTGGAAGACCATGTATAAATGGTTGAAGACTGTTAAAGAGGAGAGGCTGAACAATACTGCTCAGGGAAAGGTGAATATTACAGTATTATTATTAACTAGCATCTGCCAGCGGCTTCGTCCGTGTTCCCGTGGGTAATAAAGTAGCCTATGTGTTATTCCAGACCATAATCTACTGCTGTTCCAAATTTCAACCCGATCCCTTCAGCCATTTTGACGTGATTGAGAAACAAACATACACACAAACTTAATTCAATATGTGTAGGTAATCATACTAATAAATGCGATATAATATTAGTATGATTACCTACACATATGGAGATAAATTTATCACTATTTTTTATTCCATGAAGTATTTTATTTTGAAGTAAATATACATATACAAGCTTTGACATTATGACAATACTCTGTAATCTAAAAACAGACTAAGGTCTGTCCGTCCATTGCTGGTCTAAGAAACCAGCAGTTTGAATATCAGCCACATACTATCTCCTGCCCCTCACAGTCCTCCCCCGCAGACTACACATCGCGAGGTTGAAAGCGACCTGCATACTGTCCCAGACCTTCATCAGGTCTCTTTGACCATCTTTTATTATGTACTATACCGTATTAATATTCTTTTTATCTTAGAACGAACAAGAGCAGCGTATCATCCAGCAGCTCAAGAACACAGACCTGGAGAAAGAAATTGAATGGCTGAAGAAATTCCTGGCTACTGTCGACTCCCCCGTGGTCTTCTGTCATAATGATATGCAAGAAGGTATGTTGATGTATGTCTTAGATGGGTGACAGGTTCGATTCTCGTGTTAGATAGTGTGTTTTCGGAGTTTTTTATGGTAAAAGTCGGAAACGAACAAATCACCTGATGGTAAGCTATCAGCGCCGAACGTGGATACCCGCAACACTAGAGGAGTTACTACTGCGTTGCCGGCACTTTGGGAAGTTAGAATTTGAAACTTGAGATTCATACTTGCCGGAAATGAGCAAGTTCACGAATAGAGTCAATTCTGAACACCATGAAATCATTGAGAAATTTTTAAATTATAATTCTCGAAGATACTTGTCTCAACCTACATATTGTACCTAAAACGCATTCAGCAATCCCAGTTGGGATAAGTGTCTTGTCTATTCTCCATTTAAACTATGGTATCGAATGTCAATATTAAATTACAGTAAAAATTAAAAAAAACGTTACTGCCTCATTGGCCGAGTGGTTGCTAGAGCGACTGCCTGGCAAGGGATCTCGGGTTCGATTCCTGGGTCAGGCAAAGTATTACTGGGTTTTATAAATTCTCAGTAGTAGTAGAGTCTGGAATTGTGCCCGGTATATGGCAATAGGCTCACCTCCTTTTAACATGAATAGTGAAAAGTGAGTGTTACAATGTACAGTGGCATTAAGTGCCGTAATGTGCACCTCTGCCTACCCCTTCGGCGATAAAAGGTGCGATGTTATGTTATGTTAAAAAAACATTTTGTCTGTACTAACAACACCAACCACTATCCAATTTCAAATATTAAGCCGAACAAAATAATTTTTCAACTACCATCCCTTAACAATATCAAAATTTTATCCCCAGGCAACATCCTACTCGTCGAAGACACCCAAACGACATCAGACGACGAGGTATTACCCATATACGTACAAACATTCGATGCAGACGAACCACGAACAGCTAAAAACGGCTCCATAGAAAAAGACAATTTCTTCGAAGACGCTAATACTTCGGACACGGTCATAAGTCATATGTCGGATTGGGGGGAGCCTAAATTGGTCCTAATTGACTTTGAGTACTGTGCCTATAATCATAGGGGGTTCGATATCGCCAATCATTTCCAAGAATGGGCATTTGATTACACCAACCCTGAACATCCGTTTTATTATGAGCACCAAGATTGTACGCCGAGCTTGGAACAGAAGGTGAGTTTGTTAATGTATTGTTATTGTAGTGATGTGTTTGCAGTTGTTTATAAATCTGTGTCAAATCCTTGTTTTAATTAAGTATATTGCATGTATTGTACGCCCTAGAGGCAAAACATAGCGCTCTCAACATATTACATAAGAACTTATAATGTACCTATGTTTTACAATGAATAAATGAATCTTGAATCTTGAAAGCTTCATGCACACACACACAAACACACACACACACTTAGCTTATTGTATTTTTGTATATTACTTATGTATTTCTTTATTTATATATTGCTAGTATATTATATCTATTGTAGGTTGTATTGTAGGTATTTTTATTTTGTCTTTTTTATTGTATACGTAACTACCCCTTATCTGGGTTCTTACAAATATTTCCATTGTTGGTTGTCTGGAAGAAATCACCATTGTGTGATAAGACGGCCCATTGTACGCATAAATGTACATAAGGTGGACTTAATGCCGCAGGCATTTTCTCCCAGTGTGACCAGTCTTGGGTGATGCATAGAATAGTTAATGGTGTGAGCAAGAAGCAAGCAACTATTTAATAAAGCAAATAAAATATATACACTTACATATTTCAGAGATAAACATAAATAAACATAATTATAATATATATACCTACACACAAGTACAACACAATACACATACATATATACATACATACATAAATATAGACTGTGAGTCACTCGCGCAAAAGTAGTCTATGTATTATGACCATAATCTACCCCTGTTCCAAATCTCATCCCGATCCCTTCAGCCGGTATGATATGATTCGAGTAACAAACACACATAAACTTTCGCATCTGTAATATTAGTAAATCGGATTCAATTTGTGTGTTTGTGTGGGAAAGCCATGTTTCACTGTCGCGGAATGCCCTGCGTGGGCTGAGCACCGCCGTGTCCTCAGGGAAGTGATCGGCGATGGCGACCTCTCGCGTCCGGGCCTAGTGCAGGCCATGATGCGGAGCGAGGGGGATTGGGATGCCGTCTCCTCCTTTTGCGAAGCAGTCATGCTAGCTAAGGAGGAGGCGGGACGCGGACGCGGGATGGTTGTTGGGTTGCGAGGAGGCAGCGAAGCGCTGCCTCCTCGCAACCCAACCATCGCGAAGGACACACCGGGCGTCGGGGATCGCGGGACGATCTCCGGCCACCGTAAGCGCGGGCCTGCGGACCACATCAGACCACCACAGATGGGGCCCAATAGGGCCGATGCCGATTCGGAGTCGCGGAGAACCTAACGGGTAACCGGGGCTCCGGCTCGACGCGCGCAGGAGAAGGAACGGGGTGGTTTTTAGTCAGTAAGAGTCTGACACTCCCTCCCGCCTCACCCAGGCGGGAGCAGTCATTTGATGATTTCCCCCTTAAAAAAAAAAAAAAAAAAAGGCCGGCTCGACCGAAGTGATACCACGGCCGAGCAGAAAACCAACGTGAAATACCGCTAGAGTTATGTTTTGTGTGAGTGAGGTTACCGGAGGTACAATTATCTCCCTCCCTAATCTCTGCAATACCTACTAATTCTCAAATTCATAAACCTCAAAAGGCCGGCCGTGATATCACTCCGGTCGAGCTGGCCCATTCGCAGCATGGCTCTCCCACACTAGTATTTTTTCTAATATGCTAATATCAAATTATTTCCTTGTTTACAGGAAATATTCATCCGTGAATACCTGAAACACTATCAGGCGAACGTCTCAGATAGAACAGAAGTCAGTTTGGATGACGTGAACAAATTACTGGATGAAGTGGAAGCGTTCGCCCTGGCTAGCCATCTGTTCTGGGCGCTGTGGTCCATTGTCAATGCTTCCAAGAGCCAGATACCTTTTGGATATTGGGTGAGTTGAGCTGACATTTTTTTTGTACCAAGCAAACGAGCAGACGGATCACCTGATGGTAAGTAATCCGCCTATTGACACCAGGGACACTGAAGGAGTTACTAGTTGCCGGTCGATGGGAATTTGGGATTGGCGTTGGCCCGATCCTCAAAATACTAAATTGGGAATTGCGGTTGCGATTGGGGCATTAGCCAGATTAGCCTTACGACAACCTCGAGTCGTGTCCGATTTCTTATAGATCTGTTATGTTGTTACGTCATAGAGTAGGAAAAACATTCACTTTCACTATTTATGTTATGAGTCACATGTAAAAGGAGGTGAGCGCATTGCTATGTTCTGAATACAATTCCAGACTAAGAATATTTTGTAAGATTGAACATTTAATAATATTTGGTCTGACTCGGGAATCGAATCAGAAACTACTTAGTCGGTAGTCGGTTCTTCACAAAAGGAGAGACATTGTTCGGCCTGAACGGGCCAGCTTGCGTTGTGTTTCGCGTGAGGGTACCATCAAGTGATCCATCTCATCATCATGCGTACAGCCACGTACTGTCCCCTGCCTCCCACAGTCCTCCCCCAGTGACTACACATCGCGAGGTTGGAAGCGACCTGCGTACATAATTTTTCTAATAATTATCGTATTTTCCAGGAATACGCAGTGTCAAGACTAGAAACCTACCTAAGGTTAAAACTAGAAGTGATCAAGAAGGACAAATACGGACTCCCTCAAAAGAGGAAAATCTGCGAGGTCGACATATGAGAGGGGTTGGGAGAACTCGCGCTGTAGACCCCAAAAAGTCACTCCGGCGCAGAGCTACTTGGACCCCATGCGGTCCAGACCCCGGTCAAGTAAGACCCCGATGAGTTTGACCCCGAATTTTGAGTTCTTGAGATGGACATTTAAGTTCGTTGTGGATATTTTGGTTCATAATGGACTTTGGGAGTGTCGTCAAAGGTCTGTGTATATTTTTTGGAACGTGATCAAGGTCCAGTGGGGATTGGGTAGTGATCCAGTTTGATATTGGAAAGTTTATGAGTTCCGGTGTAAATATAAAACTGATTTTTTGATTCCTTGCATACAGTATTCCTTAGGAAATTAGGTTTTGTATCCAGTTTTTTTAGACCCCTAAAAGTCTAAAATTGTCAATGTCGGGACCCCAAAAAGTCCTTTATTAAAAATGCTAGTAGTTTTACGAGTATGGTTGGCAACACGAGATTTTTCAAAATATTTTTGATTTGTGGTAATACAAAATCAACTTTATTCTTGGACATTCAACACCAATTTTTCAAAGAAGTCTTGTGTTGCCAACTGTACTATTTCAACATGAGATCTGCATATCCTACTTAGATTAGATGGCTTGATGATATCTAAGCAGTTTGAGATTTTCTCGAATCATTACTATAAGTACAAACAATGTTTGAAAAATTATGAAAAATGACTGAAAATGTAAGAATTGAAACGTATTGGGCGGTTCAGGTAAAGAAATTTACGAGTTCGAAAGTTGAAAGAATTCGAAAAATTAAGTACTTAATTTTTTTTTCTAAAAAGTTGGCCAACTGTTTTGCGATAGTTGCCCGACTTTTTTACTATTTTATGTTTAATGCATGTTTATTTATGAGCGCAGTTAAAGAGTGCTTTATTAGTACTTAATTATCATTTTTATCGTGGTAACTTAATTGCTCACGTGAGCAACTAAGTGGTCTTCGTCATTTTCTTGCAACAAAAATTATGCACAATGCAATTTAAGTAATAATGAAATGTATCTTTATCGCGAAGAAATTTAAAAAAAAGTTGCTCAAAAGTTGCCTTCGAGTCGCCCAATGTAGATTTCGTCTTAGATAAAAATGGATATGTTTACTGTACTATAAGAGATCTCTTAGTTACCAAAAGAAAAAAAATATATAAAAAATCCAAAAAAAAAATATTGACGATAAAAAAGAATATTATAGTAACGGCTTATTTATTTATTTAGATCTATTGTAAAAATATTAAATTTTCAATACAGGGTTTTATTAAATTCGTGTGTTTTAATTTAAAGTTAAATTGGTATCAGCTTCTACAGTCCGTGACAGTCCACAGCTGCACTATGAGCCTCCTCTACATAAGAGGGTTTGTCATAATCTCCGCAGGCAGGCGTTGGGTTGGAGATGGTGGGTTGGAGATCGCAGTATAAAAGGTTCAGGTTTATCAGAGAGCGCTGCTGCCCGGTCTCTGTCTAATGTGTTGTGTCTTAGTCGGGTATACGACACCCGCGAGAAGAGTAGCGGTGGTAACATAATTATATGCTCACCTAAAGTTATTCATATTTACATTATTTCTTAGTTTAAATTATTATTCACGAATTTAATAATCCTCTGTGTAAAAGTTGTGTAATTTTGAGAATTGCAAGTGTATATATAATTATATAATGTTATTATTATGTAAATGACAAGTTTATATATAACGCCCCGCTATTACATGGGACTCATCACGTAACTGCTGGAAATTATTTTACTAAGGCGAACTGAACATTTTTGAACCTATTTTTGAGGGGAGAAAATCATCGAATGACTGCTCCCGCCTGAGTGAGGCGGGAGGGAGTGTCACACTCTTACTGACTACAAACCACCCCGTTTCTACTCCTGCATAGAGCTGGAGCCCCGGTATCTTACTGAGGTACCGGAGGCTCAATCCCCCCCCCCCATCCGTGAAACCCCAACAATCCTCAAATTCCTAATTTCAAAATTCCGGTAACGCACTTGTAAAGGCTCTGGTGTTTTGCATGAACATGGGCGACGTCGATTGCTTACCATCAGGTGATCCGCCTGCTCGTTTACCGGGTTATCCCATAAAATAAGTTATAATATCTTAGGTTCAAAATTTTTAGACGCCTGAGTAAAATATAATAGTAAATAACCTTTGACCCGATTTCCGCCTTATAAAATTTATTAAAAGAAATCTCGATTTCAAAATCACATGTGCTTTTCAAAATAGATGTAACTTTGAAATAGAAATTACGGGATTAATTATTATTATGTTTTCGACGAGGAGTCCGACTAGTTTCAAGCTATGCTACAAGCTCATATTCATGAGCAGTATTCAGCGACCTGCTGACCCATAATTAATTTGGTATCTGTCACAAAAGATTGGAATAGAAATTACGGGGTTTGATTTTAGAATACTGGGTTTGACTTAAATCGCGGGTTAATCACGTGAATATACTGAAAAAAGCTCTACTAGTTTCGAACCACAGAGGGGTTCTTCCTTATGAGCAGCGTGCGTGGTCGCGGCGATGTCGTGTGTTGCTACTTGCGCTGCGAGCTGCGAGCGAAACTATTAATGCTTTTCTCAGTACATTCACGTGAGTAACCCGCGAATTTTAGTTAATTTAGTATGTCTCACGATAGTTATTATAAAAACAATACTGGGTTTATTCATTTGGAATGAGCAAATAACTTCACTAGAGGACTGACTGACAAACTGACACTTTGATAATGTTTTGTTTGACGTTCAAAAGTTCCCTCCTGGTCTCATTATCATCAGCCTGTTCTCATCCACTTAGGACATAGACCTGAGCTCGGTCTTCAGCTCCTCTCATCCAACCACTGCTAGGCACCTTGCGGATGTCGTCACTCCACCTAGTTAGAGGGCGTCCTACACTACGTTTGCCTTCCTGGTGTAATTGAAATAAATGATTTTAACTTCGACATTATAAAATCACATTTGTAAACGCTTTTATTTAGCCTGCCTCGTATGTTTGTTTGGGTTCAATTTAGCAATTGTAATTTCACCCCTTCCTGACGACAGATCGATCTGATATTTGGTACACACTCTTAATCTTGATGACTATACACATTAGAGCCGTTTAATTAAAATATATGTTTTATGTGGCAGCTATATATTTAAAAATAATTCATATATGCAGGTTTTGAATCGGGCATCGTTTGTGTAGCTCAAATTATTTGACAAATTTAAGCTCAACTGTATATAAATATATTTAAGTGAAATGAGGCGGAGTCGGGTGCATATAACTTGTTATAATTATGCAAGTTGAATTTTAAGTTGTTTTTTCAAAGAGTTATAATATGTTTTTATTATGCTACTATCGGTGGTAACAAAGCTTATGTGAGCTTCCTCTGCAAAAGAGGGTTTGTCATAGTCTCCGCAAGCAGGGATCGCAGTATAAAAAGTTCAGGTTTATATGTAGTCCCTTAGTCGGGTATACGACACCCGCGGGAAGAGTAGCGGTAGTCACAAATGTAAAAATGACCTGAAATTCAGCGTGTTTTTAAATAAAATTCACTAGTACATAAGTAATGTGATTCTAGATATATAAGTCCGTAACAAATGAATTTCAAATAGAATAACATTCCTATACTAAAATTTATATAAACTAGCTTTTAACCGCGGCGCTGCCCATCTATGTCCTTCTCTATACTTCCTATTCATGTATGCAAAATTACAAGAAGATTGTTTGAGTAGATAAAGCGGAAAGAGGCAACAAACTTGCTTTCGCATTTATATTATTAGTTGGATATTTCGACCAAAAACGCTAAAAAATGTGGTCTTATTTTGGCATTGTCAGCCTTATGGACACTTCGCGACGCGTCATTTGACGAACGCATGCATCCTACACAAAGAATGAGCTGAGGCCTTAGTACAAGGTTTTAGCCATTGGAGCCGGCCAACCAAGCGCCGAACATGTACTCATTTCGATTACTTTGAACGCCTACAAATGACAAATGCTTGCATCTTGCTTCGAAACAATGAAATCTGTCAACCAAGCGGCAACGTTGAACCGCTTGTCGTTTGTGAAGAGTGCATGCATTCGTCAGATAACGCAATCAGGGTGATTTACTCTTGAAACCAATCTCAATGTCAATGCAATTTCAATCCCATAAAATCTCAATAATTATTCAATTTCAACACTATACAACTCCTATCGTAGCTGTTAAAATAGCATTCAGAGTACGGAATATAAAGCCTAACTCAATACCATTTAGTTCATTCAATATCCACGCCATACGGATGCAAATCTGATTCAAGAGTAAGCCTGGGTGCTTACTCTTGAATTCAATTCCGATCGATCGACATTGTTATTGTGAAATTTCGTATTCTTGAATTGCGACACTAGCGCCCATTGCATCCGTATTGCGTGGATATTGAATGAACTAAATGGTATTGAGTTTGACTTTATATTCCGTACTCTGAATGCTATTGTAACAGGTACGATAGGGGTTGTATAGTGTTGACATTTAATAATAATTAAGATTTTATTGATTTGAAATTGCATTGACATTGAGATTGGTTTCAAGAGTAAGCGCCCAGTTCAGTTACCTTTAACTCTCTTATAGCTTTTAACACTATGAAAAATATACCAAAATTAATATATAAAGCAAGGATAAGTCTTGTGCCTTTGATTATGAAGCTTATTATTAAAGGGATAAGGTACAGATTTGTTAATATCGGACTGAGTAGATTTTGGTATAAAAATGTACTTAAAAATTGTAATTTTGTGATGACAACTGTTGTCGACAAATATTTGTTGATTGAAGAGTTGACTTCGATGGTGGAGTCGGTCGTAAGCGACTCCTAATTCCCGGATTCGATTCTCTGTTACCCCGGACTTAGACATTGATGTTTTATCAAACTAACGCCTGTTTTCACCAAGGACTCCTCAACCAACTCTTATCTAAAAGTTATGCCGACGCAGCACCTAAACTAACCCCTTACTTGTACACTGTTAGGTGTCACTTTTAAGTTTGTGAGAATCAAAATATCGTTAGCTTAGAGGTTCTCTAAAATTTAGGGGAGCTTGATGAAAACGGGCATTAAAATCTTTATTAAAGAGCCCTAAATATGTATAAATCGCCGAAATTTGGCATTAGGGGCTCCCCTATTACATACGAATGATGAAAAAGGTTTATACTTTGAAAATCATTGTACATAATTATAACTAGACCAGATTTGACTCTTATATCGAATAAAATAAAGCCTAATTTCGCTTGACAATTGAAACTTTACCAAAATATTGTATTCAATCATTTCTTATTGTAAAAAAATATATGGAATTTGAGAAACATGCAATTTTGTTCTTTGGGTCGTTGAAAATTAAGTTCGTTATACAATAGCATTGATTCTCTTGTATTATTATCATCCTTTGTCTTCCATCGAAGTCGGAAATATAGATAAAAAATACATTATGCTATCTCATTCTTTCACTTGAAATTAGACAGAGATAGTAAGTCTACATTTCATAAAAATATAAGAAAATCAATGATATTGTTATAATCTGTATTGAATCATAACATAAATGGTGAAAAGTGGGTGTTACATTGTATATGTGCAGCTCTGTCTACCCCCTCGATGATTGAAAAGTTTATTTGTTATGTCTAAGGGTGTTAACCCCACCAATCGATCGATGCCATCGCTCGATGGTAGAATGAATATGTCGACATCGATCGATGATTTCTACACACCAATTGTCCGATTGTCGATCGACGATGGTAGAGATAAGTCAACATCGATCGAGCTACTTCAGCTCCCCATTGTCACCCACAGCCCGTCTGATCGATGTCGACCAATGGCATCGACCGGCAACCAATCATTGGTTAGTCAATCCGTCGATCAATTAAAGCGATCATCAATCGATCAACATCGACTGATGTCGATAGATGGGACCGATCGATTCGTGTGTTAACACCCTAATGCTTTTAATGAAACACAATTATGACGAAATAATTATTTTACTTATAAAATTAAAATAATAAATACAACTGTAAATAGTCACTATGTGATAAAATAAAACTTAAAATATAAAATGATGTTTTTTTTATTATTGTAATAATTATTTGATATATTTTTAGTTTATTCTTATATTATTTTTTAAAGATTGTTTTTTTTTAAATAATGAAAATAAAATACAAAGTTTCGAATTATAAATTTTCGGTATTTTTATTTTTTTTTAATAACAACATTTA